TATAATAATTAACATAATAATATATAAAAAAATAAATAATCATCCCACAATATTATTTATCTTTAATTGCGTTTCAATTATTCAATTTATGTTATGATTGTTTTTTTGTCCAGAGAAACATCAAGCATTTGTAGTAATTTAGTAATTAAAAGACAGTATAACATTAGAGAATTATATAAGTTTACAACACTGAATATATAACAATAGGCAATTCTATCTTATTTGTTTCGTATATGAAATTCACGTTTCTTGAGGTTAATGTAGGGATTCTCATGATCCTATGGAAACTTTGGACATTTCTGGCCAAGTAAGAAGACGAGCTGAAGTTGGATTTACGGGTGAGAAAGCAACGTTCCGAGATTTGCATTAAATAGAAGCAAAATTTGTTTCTAACTGCTGAGAAGCTCAACCGTTGTATTGAGCTTATTACGTACGCGCTTCTTGCTATTATTATGAACTCCCAGACTGTCCTATACAGATGCACACATGAAAACGCCTACATCTATAGAACCAATAGCGAACTTAGGGAAACTTGTCAAACTCTCTGCCATCGAAGGTTTCCCTCCTTTCGATGAAGAAACTACTTAAAAATTTGAAAGGATATATACTTCGCCAAACTTGTAATAGTCAAAATAGAAAATGATACAATATTTCTAGTAGGAGCGATCCTTTTGTCAAAAAATTTATATAAAAGAATATTATACATGCGTTTCTCCATGGAAGAAGTTTTGCATTAAATACCTTAAATATAAAGTAAATTTAATGTAGAACTCATAATTTTCAAGAGAAAAATTTTGATGATAAAAAAAGTATATGAAAATACGAAATACAAGGAAAACAATAGAAGGCTGTTGTTTTAAATTAATATTTTGTATAAAAATAAAACCCAATTAAACTTATATTGTACTTTAATATACCTTATTTACGTACTGATTAACTTAATTTAATCTTCTAGATTATCAAAAGCTTTTTCATAATCAAATTCATATCGTCATAATATCTTATTTTTATCAATATAATGTTGAAAAAAAATGTTATAAGAAAAATAATCTCTTGATAAAAGAAGTACAAAAATTAATAGAAATGTTACTTGTAAGATTGAAAACTTGCATTTAATTTTATTTAGTAAAAGACTTGTCAAATATATAAGCAAAGTGCATTATAAGAAGAATATTTTTTTAATGTCAATATATTTAATCCTATATATTTAATGAGAAGGAAAGCTTTCAATTCACATTCATTTAACTTGGATATTTGAATATTTCAATTAATTTTTCATATTTTTTCAATCGCACATTCCTTTTATAATGACAATTTAATTGAAAGCTTTTGATTACACAGTAAAAGGACACAATAATTTTCTGATATTAATTATCCCAGAGTAATTAAATTCTATGTATCAAAATAAATTCAATTTTAGATATTAGATATTACATATTAGAAAGAAATGATAACGAAGAATTATGTAAATTTATTCATCCTTTGAAGCTTTAATGCCAGATATCGCTTTAAAAAAGTAATGTATTTTAAAAAATTTCCGTTGCTAATAAGAATAAGAATTTCACGCTAAATTTATCAAAGAAACAATTTCTCAAAGAAGTAAGCAGTCGGCGGAAGTAAAGAGAATATCGCGTGTGTGAAACTAAAGATTAAATTAAATTAAAAGCGTAAAATGAAGTCTCTCTCGAAAGAAGCAAGTCCCCTCGAGTAAGATATCAATTTTTCGAGAGAAGTGTAGAATATAAGTTTTTTTTAAAGAGCAACGAGAGAAACATGAAGCGGAGAATGCAATGTTTTCTCGTAACGACCCAAATCACTTCAATAGTATGCAATTTATCTATTGCATCCGACGCTGTTGCTTGACAGCATCACGACTTGTTAAGCTAATCAGAGGTCGTTATCAAAATGACACACGGCATATTCGCAGAGGTGGCTATTAAAGCTATCATTCTATATCGCGAAATGTAAAAAGCGAGCGACACGATACGAAATAGAGGAAGAGAGGGAGCGACGCACATTCGGCGAAAATAATGCCGCACGTGTCCTCGCCGTCGCCGCAATTCAATACGGAGATGATTTCAAAACCTGCGTTTCAATCGCGGGAACACATTATATCCCCACCCCACATTCTCGAAATATAATGAAATGTATTCATATAAATGTATTCATTGTAAATTCATTGTAAATTTGATATTTTCGCTAAATCAATATAATTTGTGGCAACCGCGTGTGAAATTTATTTGCACTCAATATAACATATATATATTGTGTGTACATGCACCAATTTTACCATTTGCGCGAGCAGAAATGTCACGGTAAAGCGGTAAATAAAATAAATTATAATTTATTTATTAGAAAAATCGAACGCTAATTAAATCTATAAGGATTGGATCTTGAGGATTGGAAAAACAAACTGCCTAAATTTTATAATAATCTTTATCAATTTTAAGAAAAAAAAAAGCAGTCAAAAATACGAACTATTTAGAAAAAGATCGGCAATTATATATACTTATATATACTTAACTTCATAAAGTTATTCAAGTTATTTCAAATGATAATAGAAAGGTGTTGGAAGACGAGAGAATCTATTAGATCTATAATATAATATCATATCGTTAAAGTCAGAGTGATAGATTGACTATTATTAGAAGTACGGAATCAAAAGTTTTTTTAAGATCAAAGAATCAATAATCAAAAAAGTTTTGTGATTAGAAAGAGAGAAAAAGTGTTATACAAATTGAAAGAATAAAAAAAATTGAAAAATAATTGGAACCTTATACAATGTGAATAAGTTAAAAATATGATGTTTATTAAATACGATGTTAAAATTAATTATATTAAATACGATGTTAAAATTAATTTATTAAATACGATGTTAAAATTAATTATGTGAGGTTGAATCAGGGACCTCTTATTTGTATGATGTCACATCGGCGATTAACGAAAAATATATTTGGCAAAGTCGATTAAGTAATTTATTTATAGAGATAATAAACAAGAAAATGTGTTTCACCAATTTTTTTTTAAAAATCGAACAAATGTATAAAGGTAAAATTTTCAGTGCTTTTACACCATATAAAAAATAAAAAATATAAAAAGAAAAATATTTTTATTGTAAAATTATTGATATACGTATATATCTATATAGAATATATAACGGAAGTACAATCCGTTTTTTAAACATAGTCAAAACTTTACAGACATAACTCGACTTTTTTTGTCCGATCAATGCAAATTTTATCACAAAATATGCAGACTGCTTGCAGTTATCGTGTGTAAGATAATTCTGTAAAAAATAACAAATGAAGGTTAACAAAATAACGTGTATTATTTCACAAAAAAATAACTTCTGTGTTTTCTAGACTAAAGAGATTAATATCTCAAAATAAAAAATTTTCGCAAATTCAAATAATCAAATATATAAACAATAAATTGCTTTAAAATTTCAAATCAATACGATGTTAATTTTTCCTTAAATTCTCTTCACATTAAATTATTTTTGATATCTCTATTTGTAATAAAAATATAATTTAATAAATTAGTAGAAATATGAATAGTTGCGTACTCATCCGTTTTGTGTGTGTGTGTGTGTGTGTGTGTGTGTGTGTGTGTGTGTGTGTGTGTGTGTGTGTGTGTGTGTACGCGCGCACATGTATGCGAGATATTACAATATCGTCAATAATTAAATTTGCCTCGAGAAATATGATTGTATATATAACAATTCAATAATAGTAGGAAGAATTATAAATATGGAACAGTGGTACATGTATAAAATGCTCAGATTTTCAATTTTGTAAATCTTGTACTCGACAATCACTTTGCGAATTGAATAAATGGTAACGCTGTGTGTGTTTATATTTGATTAATTTCTACAACGCTATTTCCTGTTTTCTTATCATTTCCAGTCATTTTGTTGCTTTCAACACAATCATAAAATCCTTACAAATATATATTTTAATTCAATTGTATTCAATAATTATCGTTTTGAAACAGCTCTGCAATTGCGTATAAAATAGCATACGGATGCTTCTAAAATATTAATTAAGCTTAAATAATAATAAAGATAAATAAAATAATGTTTAATTTGCAATGCTTATGTACTTTAATCTATAAATGACAACATTTTCATTTCAAATTTCAAAACAAAGTACAAAAAGAAAATTATATAATAGAAAAATTGTGTTATTACGATATAGAACGATAAATGAAAATTAATACGGCTACAAATTACATGACATTTCATATTTTTTCTGCTAAAGGTGAATATTTTAATCAAGAAGCAAATCGATATTTGAAATTCATGCTCTCCCCTTATATTTTACATTGCAGGCAACAGTGTACAGAGAGTTTGCGCTATCTGGCGGAACGGAACTTGTGGCTGGCCAGCAAGTTGGTTTTTCTACTGATAATACAATCTCACGAATGACTCCCCGGAGACAACAACCTTTGCAACAGTGACCGGATAAAAGACAAGACCGTTGGGGTCAGTTTTAAATTAACGGCTCCCTGGCGGCTCCCTTAATCTTTGAGTCAAACGTACCTGTTAAAATAGGCCATCAATTGGAATGCTGTATTAAAATGCTTATGCATTCCGCCTTTGACGCGTGGCAGGTAGCCATAAGCAGTCAGCACGTTGTCAATGAGCATCGGGGCCCAACATATCGCGAACAACACCACAACGGCCACCAACATCTTCACCACCTATTATCGATCGTTCGAACTGATTAGAGAAATTTTCTGACACTTACATGAATCAATATAGCCCCTCGGCATCCCCCTATAATTAAACAATGTATCAGATGTAATCTAAGTTTATTGAATACCGTGGGCGGCCTCTTCGTAAAGGGGTATATTTTATTTAATTTCAATTTGTAGTCTTTTTAATTACATTATTATAATTTATGATCTCAAAAGACTACAATTTTGTGAAATGCACTCATTTTAAGAGAGAAATTATTTTTCTTCAAAGTAATTTTAGAATTCATATATTTTTAAATAAGCATGATTTATTCAGAACGAGCTTTATAAGCTATGAAAAAAATAAAAGAAAATTCTTTTAATAACTTAGTATAAAAGTATTATACTAGTGATAACCAGGGCGATATTATAAAAATTTATAGCTATTCACTTTTCAAAGTATCAAAATTTTGTTGTTCCCATAGTAAAATTCATTAAATCAGACCTGCTTCATAGTTCGTGACTCTTCGTCTTTCTCGTCTCGACGTGGCTTGCGATCGTTCCCGCCCTGTCGTTGTGTCATGGGAATAGATTCTGTATCTGCGCTGTTTGGATTTAATCTGAAACAGATTAAAACATGTATTCTGATTATGCGCATGAGGATCTCGTATCGATCGCACGTCAATTCTGTCTACAGCATACTTCGAAATAGACAGATAAAAAATAAATAGATCATTCGCAAACTGAATTTTAAAAAGACAAATAGCGGAATTCGATATATATATATATGTATATATAATTATATTTCGTCATTTGTAAAAAGGCTGTGCATCAGTCGCACTGAGATGTAACAGTTTAACAGTAAACGTTAATGTTTTAATAAAAAAATCAAGATTATCAATTAATTTAAATTAATATATATATAATATATATTACTCAGCGCGACTGATGCACAGCCTTTTTACAAATATAATTATATATTATAACGAAATATAATTATAATTATAAACATGAAGTAAATTGAGTTTTGATTACTTATATAGACAACACATTGGCTTCACGTAATTGCCTCATTCTTTATTTTTTATCATTAATCACTCTTAATTTAATTTAATTTAATAATAATCTGTTTACTCTAGATTCACACGTCAATGTTATTCGATTATGTAATTCTGATCATTCACTTCAACTTTAAAATTTTTCAAGAACCATGATTTCTATAGAAAAATTTTTCCTTCGGACTCAACTTATTCTCGCCTAACAACGATGAATAATTGTCAAGAATTTTATTATGTTGACGACGAACTTTATTATACGCTGTGCATCTGGTGCGAATGTATTTCAATCCTGATGAGCTGTATTCGTTGCGAATCTAGATATTTTTACACCGCGCATAGATATCTCTACATCTCTATCTTCATATTCTCATATCCTTCATTTTTTATTTATTTATTTACTGCTCGGTTTTAAATTAAGTACTGAAGAAGGCACAGTGTAACCCGAAACGTTTACATGTATTATTATTTTATTTTATCAACTATACGTTATTCACTATATTAATTACTTACTTATCATTACTGGAATTTCTACATTCTTTGTGCTCGTTATTTGGCCTTATCTCTACTCAATGTTATACATTTATACGAGCTTTTATAAATCAAATATATTTAAAATATTAAATTAATTCTCCAATAACTGTACTTTTTGATGAATTCAGTAAAAAAATTTTCTTAGTAAACTAGAAAACTCCTACAATATATTACATTTTTTTTCCTTTTTAACATTAAATAATAATAATCTTATTTTCATCTCTGGAAATATATAAAAGATCACTATTAAGAAGAATTGTTGAATTTTTACCGAGCGCATCGTGCATGCAAAGGAACCCATTTTCATCTTTGCAAGATATTGCATGCGTTAACTACGTTATGACTTCACTCTGCGGAATTTCCTTTGATCTTGCATACGCGACAGTAATTTTATCTCGGGGAATTTCTTCAAGTTGACCGATGTATTAAAGCCATGCGTTGGAGAATATATTCCGAAGTAGCGACCTTATCATGCGAACAGAAACTTTAATTTAATAGCGGTACTCGATGTGTATATAGTATCCTAAGAATGATGATAATCGATAGCATAAAGAAGCATTCTATGTAGTTGATTTCCCATAGAAATCCACAATTCGCTTTTTTCGATAAAAAAATCTTCATAAATCTACATAATTGATCGTACTTAATTAGATGTGGAGAACGATTATGTCCCAAGATAAAATTTCTTTTTTCGAATGAGCACACTTATTACGCCGTACGTGACTAATTTCTATCAATTCAAATTCAAAAGTTTCTTTGAAAAATTTTAAATATAATTTAATTAAATATTTTTGAAAGCTAAGATACATTCCAAGACATTCAGTGGCAAATGCAGAGCATTACACGAAATCAAAAAGAGACAGCTTCTTCAGAGACGGAAGATTTAGGTCCATTAGATGCACAACGTAGACCCTTCTCGAAATAAGCTCTCGGCGGGACGAAAATTTCTCGAGGATTCGGAAATATACCGACTGCTTGAAGACGCGCACTCGCGACGATGTTTCACGAGACGCAAGAGACGGCGAATCGAATCGAGTCGAGACATAAAGTGCAAATACATTCGCCGCTACGTTCGCTCTCCATCGCCCTCGATCTATTTTCAGGCGAACCTGCGGGCTACACACTTTCCAAAGAAACACCGTGAACGACACGACCGCGTCCATTACCGGAAAGTTTGCCTCCGTATGTGAGCCAAATATCGCCGTGCGCGTACATATATATGTAACTAATGATAACAAACATGAGAATTCAAGCAAATAAAGCGATATCTTCTGCGATATCTCTATCTTGAAAAGAGGGATTCGGCTGCTTTAACAAGTTGATAATGAAATGATACGATTTGCTCATTAAGATAAGCTTAGATTTTGTCTGTAATCCTTTATCAAAAAATCTTTGTAATATTGTCTGCTTTCATCCCGTTACATCGCTCATTTGCTAACAAAAATGACTAAACTCGAAAATTGTTATTTTTGAGTGATTTGCGAAAAAGAATGGGTCTCTGAAGTTCTTATCACTGATAAAATGATATAAATGATGACTTTCTAAAACTCTTAATTGAAAAAAGAATTTTGTATCAAGAGCGTTATAAGTCAAAGAGTTGATTTTAAGAATTCATTTTTATAGTGAATGTAATACACTAAAGAATGTAATACACTAAAGAGCTAATAATATTATTATTCTTCTATAGTCTCAGGTCATTATGTTAAAATAGCATTTAGAAATAAAATTAAAAATTTTAATAACTTAAAATATTTAAACTAATTTTTTGGAAAACTTTATTTTTTAAATGATGTCGTTATTATAACAAATAAGCAATATATTTTCTATTTATATATCTAAATATCATATGTATTAATCGCTCCAATGGCGAAGTTGATTATCACAGAGAATATATTTCGGAAAATTCAGAAGAATTCAGCGATGTCGAGACTGTGAGTTTGCGCCTTACCTAGAGCATTTATTTTTATATCGCACTTATTGTCTTATTTATTTATATATTAACAGAAGTATAAGTTATATCGATCTATAGCGATATAGATCTTTACGACTTGTATTACCCACAACTATATAAGCAAATTTTAAACGAGAGCTTGCGCGATATTGCGATACGTTATTACGATGGATGTTGGACAAGTGGAAACGCGATCTTCTTCATATTTCATTGGTCAATAACGATATGAATTCCTATCGTGAACATCCGAAAATCCAGCTATTCGATTGTAGTTTATATTAGATCACCGATCGCATCGGAATGTCCAAAATAACGAAAAAATTGCTACTTCTCACTTTCCACTTGACGCACGATTGACGTTCGCAACGTGGTAATCGATATTTCGCACAGCCAATAGGCGAGAAACACGTTTTTCGATTGCTGTTGCTGCAGAAAAGGCAAATAGCAGTTTATGCGCCTATTTATGGATTGCTCATTCTGGCCCACACGCGATAGGCGAACGTCATATATAAATTAATGCTGAATGCAATCGGATTCACACCGATTATTACACATGGTAGAATAAGCGGCGAAGAATTTACTCGATTAAATTTCCATACGCGTGCATTCATTGCATATTTCGCGTGATATTACCGTTATTGAAATTTAATGATCTATTTCCATTACCTGTTTGTAATAAGCTACAAAACTACTGAGAAAATGTTACTACTTTCAACTTTGGAAAGTTCTGCAAACGCATAAAATTAGGTTTCGAAGATAAGATGATCCTCTCGAAATCATCGTACTTTTCTGTTACATGTCGTACTTTTACCAGAAATATTTGTTTTTTTCTTCGTCTTTTTTTGTTTCTTTATAATAATATGTTAATAAATATTTGTTTCTATTATGGAAAATATAATTGTAAATTATTTCCTAAGATAATTATTATTAGTTGCAACATTTTGAGATCTCGAAAAATCTATCTTTCATACTTTCAAGAAAAGAAAAGGATATTCAACGTAATGTACAATTTATTTTCATCACGAAGAACGAAGAAGAAAAACGGCGTCTCCAATTTTCAATCTCCGGACTTACGCATGTCGCGACGTCATGTGATACCGGCGTTTCATGACGCGCCAGATTTCCCAGCAGATGCACGTGTAGCAAAACGCCATGATGATCAGTGGTAGCACGAGAACCACGACGAGCATGTAAACCTCGTGCGCCCGCCACAGGAGTCCGGCCTCGGAATCACGAACACACCAATAGGCGATCCATCTCAGTCCGACCTTTTTATGCGTCTGAAAAGAAAAGAAAATCCAATGGTGAACGAAAGACACGAGGGGCGCGCGTATTCTCCTCGTGCCCCCGACGTGCCAGGGAACGTGTAACGAGACGTGTGAGGGTACGTCCCCGTGATTCGCTTCTCCACCTCGCAACCACGTTTATTAAGCCGTTAGACGGGCATTTACATATACCGGGACGATAAGATTCCGCCGGCATATGAGAGCTTTTTATCGCTCCCTCGCCATTTACTTCACGATCTCGTAAAAAGGATCAGCGTCTAGCGTCCCCGCGCTTTATTAATCCTTTACGACGTGAGCCCCCGCGGATACGACCGAAGGGAAAATCTTATGCGTTCAACGTGTCGTGAGACACGCAATGAGATATTTCTCGAACAATTTTAAATATTGAAAATATGTGAAAGTTTTATATATTTCTTTGCTTTTGTTGCAAGAAAATGCTAGAGAGTGACAAGTTAAATCTTAAATGATGCCGAGTAAAGAACGATTTTAACGATTTTTAACAAGGATCTTCAAACACACCTATTATCCTTTACAATAAGACAGAATATAACAAGATTTATTATCTTTCTAAACAATTATTTTAACGATAGGTTCAAAGAGAAATAGTGATAAAAGATTTCTATTAATATTTGATAAATACTTTAAATGTGAGGAATTAGATCATCCTTGTTGCTTTAAGGTATAACGATATAATGTTTAAAATAAACATAAAACACGTGTTATCTATTATTTCTCTTTATGATTGTAACTCGCTATTGTATAAAAAAGAAGGAACTATTTTCATTTTGTATTTCATTGCATTTTCTGCTCATTCGCGTTTTAGTCTCGACTTTCTATTCATAACTTTTATGCCAGTCTTGCGCAAAAATTTCATTTCCTTCAATCCTCCATTTGCTTTCTCAAGAGCTTTTCGTACGAGAAACTTATTCATCGGTAAACTTTCATTTGAGAACGTTATCCTTGTAAAAACTAAATAAAGCCAGAATTTGCATCACGATTACAATCGGTTTATCTCGTTATCGAAGGATTATTGAAATACATATACATATTATTGAATGAAAAAAGGTTTCGCTATATAAACATGTTATGCAATTTTCCGTATGTATGTATCGCTCATTTACTGACAACAACATAACTGACAACAACATAACTCAAAAAACAAGATTTTTTCCAGAAGATAAGTTTATTTAAATTATTACAATTTCATAATATATCATTTTTAAATTCAATTTTAATATAATAATTGATTACAATGGAATCAAAATATCATTAACTCTTCAATATTTGCACTTTTATCTGCTACAAAACTAACTTTTTTTTACTTGCGACATTTTTAACACGATAGTTCTCTTTTCAATTAAAAAATTTCAGAAATTTAGTTATATAGTTTTATTCGTATTCGAGAACATCAACATTTCTTTTTTTGCAAACAACTCAAAAATTTTGTAAAACAATTTACGCTTCTGTTAATAAAATAAATAAAACAAAAATGTGATACATAAAAAAATACTCTAGATAAGGCGCGAACTCACCCACAAAACATCCCAGTTTAGTTTCGCGTGAGTAGCAACTGCGTGACTAAAGCGACGAAGAAATGTGATATATTTAACTATATATTATAAAATAGAAAATATTTTGTGCAACAATAATAGCATTCAAGAAACAAAAGAAACTTTTTTCAAAAATGAGTTTAAATGTTCTGAACCATTGAAATTTTTAGTTTATCATTACCATTTCTAAATAAAATCTTAATATAATGATTGATTGTATTGCTCTTGATACAAAATTCTTTGATACAAATTTCTTGATACAAATTTTCTTTTTACTTAAGAAATTTTAGAAATGTATTTGTATCGCAAACCAATTAAAAATAACAATTTTTAGTTATGTCATTGTTAAATAATATATAATCGAGATATATAACCGAAATCGTAATTAACGCAAAAATGAAATAAGTTTGTACTTACAAGTACAAACAATACATCTTTTATCGGAAAAATAAAATTTTATAAACTATTCGACTGTAAGAAGGCATAGAGGATTCAACTTAGAAAGAAAGAAATTTTTAAGTTAAGTATTAAAGTTCTTCTTAAAGAAAGAGTTTGAGAGTTCAAACGTATTTATATTCTACATGCGTAATTCTTGTGGATCAACTCAAGGTAACGTTGTATGAGAATTTTCATATAAGAAAAATAAAATTTGCAATCAAATAAGTATAGTAATATTAAATGTGGAATCTGACGAACCAGTTTATTTAGCATCGATTTAACATCGAGAGTTTTGAGATATATTGAACGTTTGGATAATAAAAAGTAATAAGATGTATCAAACTATCTCAAAAAGCATCGCGAATTACGAGAGAAATTTCCGCCAGAAGAAAATCCAATCACGGTGGATTCCCTTGATTTTCCTCTACACTGCTGATTATCCCGACTTAGCAGTGTATCTTTTTAATGCTCTAAACCGCTTCTTGAAAGCAAATGGGCGAAACAAGTATCAGTTTTTATCGAATATACAACTATGGGGCGTATCGTTCTCAGATTTCGTGGGTGCGCATTGCACGCGTGTGCGAGAGCAAAATATTATATCATAAATATATCATATTACATTGCGATATTGTAGTCTAGTACAAAGTAAAAAGTAACATTTTATGCGGGATAGTAATTATCGATGCAAAATTAAACAAATATTGTTTTGAACTGTTTTAAATCGTTTAAAGGCATGCGGTATCACGTTCGATGTATATTTGAGATACTCAATTCTGCATAAAAAGTTCCTTTTAATAAAAAATCTTTATATAATTTAAATGGAAAATAAACAATTCGATGCTAATCTTTTTTATATATTGGTTTTAAAATCAGTCGTTCGTGCAGATCTATATTTTTTTGTCTATATTACTTTAGAATTAAGTTTTCTTTACAAAAATATAATAACTTTTGAAGTATATAAAGTAGATAAATAATAAATTAAATATATTTTCTCAAATTATTACGAATAAATATAAATACAATATTATTTCGTTTTTAATTTTAAGCGGACTTCATCTTTTATGAAATGTGATTTTAATTAGACTTATTATATAATATTTAATGAAAATGGAAAAAATTGAAAAGAAGATTTTTTTAAAGGAAATATTAACTACAAATTGAAAACATATATACCTGTGTAAACATCATTGGTATTCCCAGCAAAAATGCCGCGATCCAAGTTATGATCACGATCTTACGAGCTTGACTTATGGTGCACATATACTGCGCTCTCATTGGATGCACTATCGCGTAATATCTGAAACAGATATTAGAATTATTAGTATTAGAAATAATATAGATCTGAAAAGCTAGCTAATTTATTCTCGATTTTTCAAATATATATTCACAATAATTTAATTATAAATAAAAATTTATCAATCTATATTCATAAAAAGCAAATAATAAAGAAATAAAATAAAGTAAAATAAATATTAATAAAGATATGTTACGAGACATTGATGTCCAAAATTACATTCAATGAGACAGAATCAATGATTTTATCAAAAGATTCTCTAAATAAAATACGGCACTGCAAAATGTCTTCGATAGAAACTTTATACGTCAATTGCGATATGTATTCGCGATGACATTTTTAAACATAGGTTCAAAATCCTTTACCTCGCTGTGCAGAATATCATTTCTTGCGAAATGACATTTGATGGCGAATATTAATCTAAGTATATTTCGCGAATATTACGCCTCAGGCACAAAAATATAATAATCTGCAACTCGAAGAGATCACATAACAGCGTAAAAAATTGAATGCGCAACATTTCATTTTCAGATCACATCGATGCAATATTCTTGTCGAAATGACTATCACGAGACAATCATTGCGCGACCGAGATAAACTCTAAGTAAAATCGATTATTTTATATAACAAATATCAAACACAACTCTTTAATCCGCGATTACGAAACCAAAGAGGAAAATACAACAAATAAACTCAATAATTATTAGTTAAAATTTATCCGATTTTATAAAATCAAGATATATATATATATATATATATATATATATGATATGTGATAAAATATTTTTTTTCATTTCGAGAATCATATTATTAATTTTAAAATCTTATACATATGATAAAAATTTAGACTGCGGAGAATTTGCAAAATGTAATATCAATAATAGCAATAATGAAAAATTAAAATAAATAAGATATTTTTCGACATTTTTGTTAAGAAAAAATAAAATGGCTGGATAAAAAAATCTAAAAATTTAAAATTCATTAAAAAAAACGGAATATAACAGCTGATATATATGTACCGAATAGAGTGTACTGTATGAGCATGACTAAAACAGAAGTTTTCGGATCAGAAGTGTTTAGGATAAGCCGCATTTTTAGTCGCGAGCGGAAAAATCGCATGTAATCCATGCAAAATCGTATATAAACACGAGACTCGAATCGGAGAAAAATTAAGTCGGAGGGAAAAAGCCTTCTCGTTCGGAGTAGCTGATGTAAAAAGAAGAACAGAAATATAATAAGCGGATAGAGACCAAATCGCGTAATAGGGTGGAAAAGCGGTCGAAGCATTTACGCTGCATTTTGCAGACTCCGCCGCCTCCGCAGTTTCCGCCAGGGCTCTTTTTATTTCGCCCGCGACGAAAAGAGGGTCCAACAGCTATCTCCTTGTTTTTGGCGGCGGTATTATCATCGTCATGAATATAAATTGCCCTGACCGATGTCATATGCGGCAGAGTCAGACGGCGCGCCGATAAGAGCGTCGAACGAGTCGCGTCAAACGGAACGAACGACGGGCTATCGTCGGGCTTTTTATTGCCCGCAAGCCGTTCGCCTTTTATGACCACGTAGGATTCCCGCCGATGCGAGTATCGGTCCGTGCACATTTTCGTATTTCAACGACGATTTCCTCCGTCATCGAAGGAATTATGTTAAGGAACTATGTTAAGAGTGATGAAACGCGTCGATGGGAATGATTCCACGTTTGTTTCTGGTTCCTCATTTGCAAGAGAAAATAACAAAATTGAAATCAATCTCCTTGAAACATCGCATCAAACATTCGTTGCTGCTCGTAATATCTTTCAAGCACATGTATCGCAATTTTTTACAGACTTGGGATTACTTGATGAATAATTTTTGTCTGAGAATAGGAATATAAAGTGCCAATTACATAATGACAAAAAAGAAATATCAAATCTATGTATATTTAATAAATTTAAAAAATATACATATGTGATATAAGACACAAGTGAAACAACTTTAATTTACTTGCAGATGTTCTAATATGTTGGGTATATCCAACATGGCACATATATCTTTGTCAGAGTTTGTAGCGCACATGTTAACTTGACACAGCATCTTTCGATGACATCGTTCGCAATAATTCAAACTTTCAAAATTTGGCATCTTCTCGCTTCGTAGCTCCCACTTATACAGAAAACGTTTCAAGCAAATGTATATAATATTTATTTATTGAAAATGGTGAAATTTGTCTTATTGTGAGACATATAAGTAATTGCAGCATGGAAAAGAAATTGTAAACGTGTTTACCGTGTTTGAAACGTGTAAATCGAAACTTTATATGGTAATAAGATAATATTTTTATATTATAAAATTTATAAACCGACAAAGTTTTTTAACACTGATATAAAATATTTAGGAAAGGCATTTACAATCGTGACTGGATTTTGCTTAATAATAATTTTTTTAATTTATACAAATTTTTTTAATTTATATAAATTTAATAAACTTTGTTGCCACTTATAACGTGCCGTTGTTGACAGACTTGCATCAGTTAAATATCTCCTCTAATACCTCAATAATTTAATTAAAATTAATTAAAAATCTCTTGCAAGAATATCTTATTGTGAAAAAATATACCTCGGATATAATTTAAGCTTGAATCTATCTACTTTTAATCTTTTTATAAATATCGAGACAAATTGCTTGCTTATTTAGGTGATTATACAAACTGACAAAGAAACGAATTGAGAGGAGCGTACGTATTCCTTGCACTTAATTTCGCTTGTAACGTTGTAACAATGGAGCGCCCGTTGTTAGACTATTTTGCTAAGAATAATAATATAGTAGATTAAGCTTCTTTATTAAGCTTCTTTAAGTAGCTTACGTGCAATCCAATTGTTGCATTTCTATGCAGATCTTTTCGAGATGATTTCTTTAGTAATTATGTTACTATGGATTAAACTGCTAATGAGCAAATATCGAATAAAAATTACTTGAAGAATAAAATTATAATTAATAGCTCAAAAAGCATAAAAATATCTCAAAACTCGCGACTTTAAGTTTAATATCAAACTTCAACAATATTTTATAACAAAATGTAATTTAAAACTGAATTTTTGATTGGCAAAATTATTTTAATTACTGATCAATCAAAGAGAAGAAAAGAAATATTCGTACATATTCTGTAATATTAAAAATTTTTATGTAATATTATTTTTTATTTGCAAATAAACATGTATGTCATAAAAATTATTAAACGTATATTTCGTGATTAGTCTTCTTTTTATGCAAATAAGCCAAAGTTTTCATGGCGAAATATAAACTAGAAGACTAGGAGGAAGGAGACGCGTAATGATTTTTCAATTTTATAGCAAGCCATAACGGAAAAATGTTTGCGAAGTTAGCTGGATATAGTAAGCACTATAAATAAAAGAAGTATCTCCGTCTGCCAGCAGATTTATGAGTCTCAAAACTCGAGTGACGAAAGTAGGTTGAATCGGATCCTGACACCATGAAAACTTACTGTTTCATTTTACAAAGTCATCTTAATTACGTATACTTTCTCTCTCCCCCATTTCCCAGGAAAGAAATAAAAAGAGATTGAAGGTAAGGAGAATGTGTATTTTATTGAAACTTCAATTCTTCTTTCTATTTCATCAAACATCTCACTACATGAAAGAATTTCACGAAACACGTGATGATTTAAAGTTAATCTCGCTTTAAATTGTTTTTTTTCCTAAATATTAGCATACTAATAATAAAACTCAAGATTTTATGTCAGTAAAATGAAGTTACATAGAGTGCTTCAGTTTCTTTAAGTAAAATCAATTGTCAACGTTTCTATAAATCTTTCTGAAAAAGAGAGAAAGAAAGAAATCCAATAAGAACAATGGAAAACCAAATAAAACAGACAATCTTGTAACTTGTAAGTTTTTTTTTAAATTAAAGCAAATCGATTTTTAGAAATAATTGTTATCAGATTACAGTATTATTAGATAGAATGACCTGAATACATGCTCGAAAAAGAGAATAACATCGTACTCAAGATTTTCCTTTTTTACAGGAATCACGAGATTGTAATCATTGGATTAACGCCAAGTAGCCCGGATTGCCGGGCGCCCGTGGCGCCTGCTGTAATTGCTACACTTCTCCCGTAGTTCTTTCCCGGAAATGCAACAACCGTGCCAGACGGAGTTGCATAATTAATCTCACCGAACGGAACCTCGATCGTCGGGATATCTCGGATAATCTTATTTAACTCCGCGGGAGGACGACGTCGCGTCGAAATCCGAGCGCCGGCGTGTACGAGGAAAAACGTCAAGGCGGAAAATTCTTCCCACCGCTTCTCTCGATTTCACAAAAATAACACGAGATTAAAAGGGACAAACGTCAGACGGTGATCTCTGTAAGCTGCTGCGTGGGCGGAGCAAAGTTCTCTATTAACGATGGATATTCAATTTCAAAGTGTTGACGTTATCGTTCAATCGCGATACAGAACGAGAGAGAGAAAGAGAGAGAGAGAGAGA